CGGAAAAACAGCATAGCGTAAATGAAAAATGCCAAAGAAAATAAAGATCAAAAATTTAGATGAAAGAAAAAAGTATTTTTTTAATTATTTTTGAAATTTTTAATATTTTCAATCACGTTCGAACAAGCGCGGCGACGTTTAAAATAACTTAAACATTTTGGAAATTCTTGTAAAAATAAAATAATTGGCTGTATTTTGAAATAAAAAAATTTTTTAAAATATGTTACCCCACATTTACTTAATTTAATGAAATTTCGCCCAAACCTTTTGGTTCCTGAATTTTTTTTTTTTGTTATATAATTCGAAGAAAATAATCTATTTTCCTTTGAGCTATTTAACTTTCTGCTCTGAATTGAAAAATAATGAATCAATAAAACTATGATATTACTTAATTAGAAAAGCTTTTAATTGCTTTTGTAAATAAGTAATATTAAGAACGTTGTCTTTTTTTTCTGATTTTAAAAAAATTTTTCCTTTTTAAGAAATTTTAATTATAATAATTTATAATAGTTTTAAATCGTGTAAAAGCTCTGTATTAGGAGGGTTCCTCGATATTATGTACTAATTAAGTAGAAAAAATTTACTCCAAAATTGCTAAAAATAAATTTAGTTGCGCTACTTTTTTTTTAAAATAATTTTTTTATGTTGTATTTTTTTACTTAATACATTCCTTATTTCCATGTATGATATAAAAAATTGCCATTATTATAACAAGGTCACGTGATCTAAGGGTTTTGTCCCTTTCAAAACATTTCGTTTATTAACAGATTGTATTTTCCGATCAGCTGTAAAAAAGTGTAAACTTTAAATTTTAAATTATTTTTTTTTTTTTTTCAAAATTTCACTAAATAATTTTATAAATTTAGCTGTTTATAATTTTTTTTTAAACTCAGACTTAAAAATTAACATGGTCATCAGTAGTAGCTGTCATCATCGTCAATCAGTCATTATCAGTAAGATCGAACAACTGAACAGGACCGCTCGTTAATAATTGGTTGTATGAATGAATCAGATTACTTAATGAATTAACGTGTCAGAATTTTTTTAAATATTTTAAAAATGATGTGGTATTAAGAAAATGGCCGTTTTTTAAGAAATTTAAAAATTTTTAAATCTGATCAAACGTATATAGTTTTGTTTAAATTGATTTAAATTAAACTTTGATTAAAGCATAATTATTCAATAGTTTTTTCGTTGTAAAAATATTTTAAACTTGTTTATTTAGCTACCTGAATGTAAACAAAATTATTCAAGAGCAATATTTTTTATTTAAAATGTAAACAAAATGTAGAATTTTTTTTTTTATAAAACTGTAGATTTTTTTTTTTTTTATTTATATATATATATATACTACATACGTGTGTGTGTGTGTGTGTGTGTGTGTGTGTGTGTGTGTGTGTGTGTGTGTGTGTAGTGGGGAAGAAGTCTAACAAACACGAATCGTTGTTTGAAGAATTAAATTTTTCAAAGCAAAAACTCATTGAAAGTGAACTAGTTTCGGTATATTCTACATGATATTTACGTCTAAGGTCATATATTTCCTTTCCTCACAAAATCTAAATTAACGGTCAATTCTGTCAGTCCGTCCGTGTGTCTAAAACCTCTCTAACTCGAGCTATACCTGTCATACATAGACATATTATACCATTTTGGAATCAGGATGATCCAGGGATTGAAAATCGGCCCTTCATCCGGATTCTTGAACATCCAGAATTGGGATTTGTGTCTGGCTAATGAGGGAACAGTTACAAATTCAAATTTTAAAATAGCTGAAAAACTTAGTGATTTTAAAAGTTTTTAATTGATATTGAGTTTAAAGTAGTACAAAAACTTCATGAATTTTTTAAAAAAATGTTTTAAAATTCAGTTTAAAATATTCTCAAAATTTTGTGAACTGAGGAAATCAGTTTTATTTTTTCAAAATGCCAAGGAATCATAGTTAAAGTGAGAGGTTTTGAAGTTCCGCGGAGTTTGTGATTTGAAGAACTCATTTGAAGTTTTCACGATTTTTGTGATTTGAAGAATTCAGTTTTCGCCCAGCATTAGAATTTCAGCTGAAATTCGACTTTTCGGCCCAATCGGTCTTTTGATTGAGTTAAAGTGAGGTTTTGAAGTTCCATAGAGTGAATTGAGGAATTCAAATTTTATTTCTTCAAAATTATCATTGCTGTTTTCTTAAAAGTGCACTAATTTCGGAATCTCCTCCAGTAAATATTTACGTCGAAAATTATGTATCTCTTTTAATTGTTGAATTAGTGCTAATACAATGTAGGGTTTTTTTAAAATACCGATAAAAACCTATTAAGGACAAGGTGAAATGTATTGAAAATGCGCTAATTTCTAAATCTTCTGTGGTAAATATACGTCCAGGAACATATAACATGTATCCGTTTCTAACGAAACTTATGCTGATAATTCCACAACAAACAGATTTAAAAGAACACAGAAAATGTAAATAACATTCAATAACAGTGATTTAGAAAATTAATACATAGAGCCTAAACCTAAACGTTACAATGAACACAAATTTTAAAAAGTTGTAACTCTAGACTTATGGTATTGAAACAAATATGGCAGCAACATCCACTGGACGGACGGATGGTAGAGGCATACGATAAATTTATTAACATACAAAAAATGAAAGATTTACATAAATTAAGTGCCTTGTGTTCCAAATGATGGCCAATAACATGTATGTACAAATAATCACTGCAAGTAAAATATGCCTCTTTTGCAATAAAAATTACAATGCTGCATAAGGTCCTCAGAAAAAGCAAACAACATAAAAATAAATGAAGGTCAAAATACTTCTCTGAATCATTTTCAAATAGGTATAATGTTCGAAGCAAAGTTCGTGGTAGCAGCGAATAACAGAACAATCACACCAGCTGAAGAACTTTCCTTCATGTGAGAACGACTGTGATGTTCCTTTCAATTCTCGTCTGATGGTCGTCAAATTTCCTCTGTGTTATTTGTTACTTGACCGGGCCGACCCGGGTTCCTGCAGCAGCTTGTTCATCGACTCCTCGAACTCCATTCTGCTTCTGATTTTATTCACCAAGATAGGCTCCAGATTTGCTTCTCAGAATTTGAAGGGAAATCTTTTGATTGGTTCCGAATGAAAACCAAACGCAGCTATTTTCCCACGAATCAAAATGTACCAAAATATTTTTGAAATTCAAAAGTTTAAGCAAGAGCCCAACACAGAGTCTGTTTTCTCTCAGAAAAGCAGACGATACACGCTCAAGCAACTTAAAATTCTTATAACCATATTTTAAAAAATAAATGTGTCACTTCCCTACGGTGGAGTGAGGGTAGGCGAGTAAATATCGTTTTTTTTTGTTTTGTTTTGTTTTTGTGTGTGTGTGTGTGTGTGTGTTTAAGCATATGATGGCCGGTTTGTGACATACGAACTACAGATTTTACGACTTTCGACCCTTGGATTTTTTGACACTCCTAGAACTTTTCAGCTACAATTAAAAATTTCCATCTTCTGACTCCTCTACAAACATAGAGCATTTTATTTAGTTAGTTATTTTGTGTGAATAAAGCTGTCACCAGCATTAGTGCCTAAAGACAAGCTCCTATTCTGACTTTTACATATCGAAAATTATGTTTATTTTCTATGATGTAATCCTCCTTGTCTGTTTAAAATTACCTCCCTTGAAAGTTCAAGTTATGTCCCTTATCCAAGTTATGCCCCTTTAATAAAACGAAATGGATGACTAACAGATTTCGACATCTATCAGAGAGATTAAATTTAAATTTTTATTATTCCAAAATTTTAACACATCAGCAGATAGCTGTTAATATCAAAAACTGAGCACAAATAGTTATTAATTTAAAAAAATTAATAATTAATGGATAATATTATTCATAACTACATGTACAAGAATGTCGTTTTTGATAAAAGTTTTAAAAAATAACCATAAATACGTAAAAAATGAATATATTGTCGAAAATTCCTTTTTCCACAATATATCTATTTGTGCTATGTTATAATGCTTGCTGCCTAAACAATAATAATACTGAATAATTTTTTTAAACATTTAAGTATATTTAATCACATCTACCTAATAGCTTTCGCGATCTGTAAAATAAATGTATTTTTCATTTTTTTAATCAGGTTTTCTTCTTTCGCTTTCGTCGGTATTTTTAATCCTTTACTAACATTTTTGTGACAGTCTTTTTCATGCTTGAACGCACTCTTCATGGCCTTTTAATGGCCTGAAGATTGCGTTCAAGCATGAAACAGATTGCCGCCATTCAGTGTTGACCTCAAGTGCCCTTTTATATATATATATATATATATATATATATAACACGAAAGAAGAGGAAGAAATAACATTACTCATTGTAGATTGATGAATTTAAAAATATTTAAAAACAAAACAGAAATTAACTGGTTATCGCTTCTTGCTCTTTAGACCTCAACTGAGGACAAAACATATATGCACAACGACTAAACTCAGAGTGGAGTGGGGGAGATATATTTTATCAGAGGATTCGCACTATGAGTCACATATAGATTATATTAAGTCCCAGCAACCATTGATTCCTACTTATAGAGGGAAGGTTGCTTAGATTTAATATACAGGATCTTGAGCACTTTCAGATGGTTAACTTGAATATGCTCAGCTGACAGCTGTGAAAAAAATTAGTGAAAGATAAGGTACAAATCAGATTTGTTTATTAGATATTCTGCAGTTGCAGACTTGGATGTATTTACCAGCATAATAAATAAATAGTAAATCATCATAATACCCTCTATGGATCATATCACGTAGATACCTTCGGCACCACTCGTGCCCGAATTTGGTTCATCCCGTTCCTCCACAATGCTTGAACATGACATGGCCCAGGAGGCCATGTCGGGAATGGGGAAGACCCGGGAATTGGTTGCATGTTAGAACGGGTGATGGTTTTCTAATGGAGCTGCCGGGCCTTGCGTTGCCTTCTTTTTAATTCCTCTTCAGTCTTTCAGAAGTAGAATAATCAAAATGAATTTTTCTCTTCGCCAGGATGGACAGTCGGCGGCTTCTTTTTTTCCATTTGCTTGGGCTGATTCCGGTTTGAAGATGTTCTTTGAATTTGCATTTTGGGGCTCCGCGATGTCGTTTGCCATTGACGAGCTCGCTATAAAAGATGATCGCAAGGAATCTTCAAGAAGCTATTCGGGTAATGTGTCCTTGTTGCAGAATTTATGCTAAGTAAGATATGTCAGAAGGTGAAATTGTGTGAAGGCATAAAATGTGCGTGTACATTATGGATTTATCCACAACAAATAAATTAAACGAACATATGAAGACAATACAATTTGAAGAAATCAAGGAAAAAACAACGTAGTTACAGATTTCAACAATAACATGAATTTATATATATATTTGACCATGTGCTTGAAAAAGACTGAAAAGACTGCAGTGCATTACGCAGACCGAAAGGCATTCGAGTGAATTTGTACAAGCCAAAAGGGGTAGTAATGGCTGTCTTGGGATGTCGATGGCTCTATTGGAATTTGGTAGAAGGCTTTCCTTAGGTCTAAGTTATGATAGGTTGCTTGTTAAATGTGGCAAGTGAAATAAGATTGCAAAGAGTGTCCATGCAGAGATTTGGTGAATGAATGTTGATGGTTTAAGTTTGTTTGTGAAATTAAAACAGTTTGATTTCTGCAAGGTAAAATGTCAATTGTGTGAGTTCAAATAATAGTGTTTATGTGTGTGACAACTGTAAGTGTTGATTCAAGTTATGAAGAGTTGTGTGCCTTTGACTGATATGCTAAAGTTGATTAAATGTACAATTACTATTTCGTAATGAAAATGTCACTTTTTTAGTAAATTGTAAGTTAAGTTTCTTCACGCGGCAATAGTAGTGCGAGTTGTATTGAGTTGATGAGAGGCTGGTAGTGTTATTGAGTTAGTGCGTTGGCACGCGTGGAATCTACTGGCATCTCTCGAAACTCAGTGTCTGACTGACTTGAATTAAGTCGAACGATTCTTTTTTATAGATTTTTGTGTTTTCAAATAGGCTCCAGACAGCTGCACGGGAAAAAGGATTTGTCTCAACTTGCTACATTTTTGTGTCCTTTTAATCAATGGGAAGCTGAGTTCGGAAAAGTGAAGTGATGATTGTTTAAAGGTTAATTTGAGGAAGAGTGCATCTTCCCGTAAGGGGTGACAGGCAAGTATGGAGGATTCCATAATACCCCCGCGAGATTAATGGTCACGGGCAACATGATCATTAATATGTATAGTAAGTTGTAAATTTGGCAAGCCAGTGCACATGTCTACCCGACCTAGTTCGGGTAGGTGGACTAACTACCGATTCAGTTGCTGAAGAGGGGTGTGCACGAGACGATTCTGAATCAGGAATTGTTTGTGGTGTGGTCGAAACCGTGTTGTTAGGGTTAATGTATGCTGGCTTCAACCGATCAATGCTGACCGTTGTATGTTTCCCTGCGAGATCTCTAATGAAATACTTTGGTGCTCGAGAGATGACTTGGTGTGGTCCTGTGTAGTTAGGAGTTAGGAGATTGCGGACCGAATCTCGGCGAAGGAAAACAAAGTCAGTTTTGTGTAGGTCAGCGGGGACATAGTTTATGGTTTATGATAAGCCCGAGTTGGTGTATAAATAACGTCAGTCATCTTTTGCCGAAGATCGTTGACGAAATGACTGGAAGGAAGATTATCGGTTACTGGGCTGAAAATCATAGCGACAAACAATAAACAATATTGAACTGTGTGAAATACAAAAAAATCAAATGTGTGATTTCATGTAGTAAGAATTGTAATAATACAGTAGGAGTTATTTCCCTTTAACTGGTGAATGCGTTAGATAAGGTAAACATTTTTTAACTGGACTCACAGAAAAGATTTCAGTTCATAAAATAATAAGTTTCAATAGAAAGAATGTTCTTCGATAAAAAAAAGGTGTTGTGGGCTGAAATTCTGTATTAGAGAAGTTCAAAGAAACTTGTTGATTGAGTGAAAATGTAATCTTCACTTGAATATCGAAAAGTTGAATTCCTTGCCGACCGTTTATTTTCACGGAAGAGAATTTGCTTGTTACTGAAGAATGGGATGAATTCAGAGATGTGCAATGTTCATACGTATGTGTGTGCATGTGTTATAGCATCTGATGGGCAGACGTAAAACTTCTCACTGAACTACATGTTTGTTATTTATGTGTAAAACAGAGGAAAAGGAGAAAGAATTCAAAAAAAGTGTCCTTGTATTTATAATATTGTATGTCACGTTATTGGCTCGAAACAAATAGACAGATCATTAGCGGAATTGTATAGGTCGATACAATTTGTCGGAGTTACCTCCTCCTCCTAACCTTGAGCCGGCAGAGGAACAGGTCATTTCGACCTTGACCTCTCATTCATGCCCCTTACACACTGTTAACACGCCGGGGGAACTAGCAAATCCCCTTTTTAGTTAAGTTACATTACAAACCTAGTTGTAATATACTAATAGTCATTTTTAGACCTTAGTTCTCTTTAGCTAACCTCGTAGTATTTTATTATAGAGACTTTACGGTTAGCTTAGCCAATTTCTCTTGCTGGACTCTCTTATGACAAGATAGCTGCTTCTCACTAAATCCAGGGAGGCAGTCGGCGACCGAAACGGTCTTCGTTGGCCAAGGACGCCGATCACCGGGCTGTGTATTGAGTTACGCTACCATTTTTTTTTTTGTCTGCCAACTTGACGATAGTTGGGAACTTTTCTTTCTCTGTCTCTCATTCCCAACACGTCAAGTTGGCAACGACAAACAATTGGCACCCCGGCAACAAGTGGCACTCCTGGCAACTACCAACATCAACTCCAACAGCAATGATCCTGCCAGCAAACGACAACAACCAACGGCGATCACCCCGGCAACAATCAACTTCGACAACCAACAGCGATCACCCCGGCAACAACCCACATCAGCTTCAACCCCAACAACGATACTGGCAACTACCAACCTCGACCATCAATGCCTGCACCAGAATTTCTGTGTCTGTACCGTCCGACCAATTTTATCTGTTTTCCTTTTTAGAATTAGCATATATCATATATATCCTCGTTCTGTCGTCTACATTGTTTCACCGTCAGATTTAACGTCTTCAAAAATGTCAGCGGGCCTTTTATCTTGAAGGGGACATAAAAACTTGTGATGCTGCAAAAAAAGGTCGTTCACCCTTTTCTGTGATACGGGGCCGCACGGAGTGCCCGCTAAAATGTGGTGACCCCGGTAGAATGTCACGTGATCTGACTTGGCTGGACAATATGGCGACACAATACCAACGAGGCATATTCAACGCTTAGCAACCAGCAGACCTGCAAAGCCATTTTTCCACAAACCAACACTCTCTTCTGGACTGAAATAGATTAAGTGTGAACTCAACCACTAAAGACGACCCACTGTCCTTTACTCTCAACAACATTGGTGATTCCGACATGGAAGCGACACACAAGTTTCTCTGGACGACTCACTGTTCCATTACGATGCGACATCACTGAGGATTTGCATGCACGTAATTCGTCGCTATTAATCTTACAAATTCTGCTTTCTTCCAACACATGCTACTGGTCATAGCATTTCGCATCTTCTTCCATTCTGAAACTCAAAAAGCGCGCACATACATTTTCCTACACCACGTGCTTCCCATGCTTCAAACCTTCTTTTCGGATGACTCACTGTTTCGAAAAAAATTTTCAACGATTGCACCCTGACGACAACACAAGCACATTTCGTGAATCACGCATCTCAACCACACTTCTGACACATTTTCTTTTCAGTTCACAAGAACAATAATCAAAACTTCCATTAACTTTTTTTGTTCTGTATATATTAAAATCATATATATCCTCGTTGACATTTCATTACAACTTTTAATCTGGTGGGGCCGGTATTGTGGGAGGTATCTCCTCCTTCTATCCTTGAGCCGGCAGAGGAACAGGTCATTTCGACCTTTACCTCTCATTCATGCCCCTTACACACTGTTAACACGCCGGAGGGACTAGCAAATCCCCTTTTGTAATATACTAGTCATTTTTAGACCTTAGTTCTCTTTAGCTGACCTCGTAGTGTTTTATTATAGAGACTTTACGGTTAGCTTAGCCAATTTCTCTTGCTGGACTCTCTTATGACAAGACAGCTGCTTCTCACTAAATCCAGGGAGGCGGTCGGCGACCGAAACTTTTCTTTCTCTCTCGGGCGTAGTTGAGAACATGATATTAATATTAACTGACCAATCAGAAGTGAGGAAAATATCAAGACCCTGTGATCCACGTTTTGCACAGTTTTGGTCGATCGCAGTGCTGTGACGTAGGAAATGTATTGGCATTTTTTTTAACCAATGGAATTAGGTCACAAATAAAATATTTTTAAATTGGAGGTAGAACACTAAAAACTTTAGCAGCTGCAATACCAGTAAATCACCTCTACTACTACCCTGTTATGGTGAAACACACCTATTCTATAGTTAATAGACTCTCCCATCTAATAAGTAGGAGTAGTAAGAGAAACGAAGGTCAGTCGATGTCGGACGACAGTAGTCGACAATTAGTCGAATACGAAAATAGCCGGCGACCACAAGATTACTCTGCGTATACCTATTATATCAGGTTCCTAACGTTTGTAAGTCGAACCTATTTTAGGACCGATTTAGTACAAATACAAGCCTCCACTGCGAAATAGCTCCGCAACAACGACAAAATCTGTCGTATTCTCAACTGAGAAAAGACATTTTTTTCTCTCGATAATACACGAATTGCAAATTAGTATGACACTGGCTCAGATCTATCTATCATAAATTTGTATACGTGGAAGAAGTTGGGGAAAACAACTTTAATGAAGACAAAGAAAATCGCGAGGTCAGTGACGAGAGAAAAAATACTATTTATTGAAGAATTTGTTACAAACGTCACGTTAAATAAAAAAACGCGAAAAGCTAAACTATTTGTCATAGAAAATACCACGAACTTACTTGGTACGAGTTGGATAACAGAATTCCAATTATGGAATCTACCGATAATTTTTTTTTGTTACAAGGTAGAAAGTTTAAACACCGAAGCCCAAAAATTAGTAAAGAAACTTAAGGAAACAGTTCCTACTGTTTGTTCTCCAGGGTTGGGAACGTGTACCAAGATGGAGGCAAAATTCCAGCTAAAAGAAAACTCTCAGGCGGCATTCAAAAAGAAAAGGAATGTGCCGTTTGCCTCAATTAAACAGATAGATGAAGAATTGGACAGATTAGAGAAAACCGGTGTACTTAAAAAAGTTGAGTATAGTGAATGGACAACACTGATGGCATACGTGAAAAAAAAAATCCCAGAAAGTAAAGATGAAGCCGACACTGAGAAAAACTGGGGAGTGAGTTACCCACAGCCAAGGACATGCAGTATTATTAAATGATTTAAGTCAACTGAAGTCACCACAGAAAACGTTAAGAAGCACAAGATCAACAAAAGGGAAGCTAGAGGCTGAACAAATAGAACCACAAGAACCTATTGAAACTGAGACCCCATCCTTAAGAAGCTCAAAGTGGAAGGTTGTTTCTGATAACACTATGGAGGTACCAAAAAATAGAAAAGCGGATTGGCAATATAATGTACTTGGTAAAAGGCGAAAAATTCACGTGCAGACGGCACATTAACCAGATCAGACGACGCTCTTCAGACGTGGTTGACAGCAGTCCCATGGAAGAAACACCGATGGAGGTGATTTTCAATACGTTTTTAGCTATTTACTACCCTGTTATGGTGAAACACACCTATTCTATAGTTAATAGACTCTCCCATCTAATAAGTAGGAGTAGTAAGAGAAACGAAGGTCAGCGACCACAACAAGATTACTCTGCGTAATACCTATTATATCAAGTTCCTAACGCTTATACGTCGAACCTATTTTAGGACCGATTTAGTACAAATACAAGCCTCCACTACGAAATAACTCCACAACACACCCCTGATATATTGAGAAAATATATACACTTCTTTTTTCCTTAAAGTCTTTTTAATCATTTAACCTCAAGCAAGACAACAAAGCCACTAAGACGTAGGGAGTTACTGGGTGTGAGAGGATGTGAGAAAAAGAAAACACTATTAAGGAGAGAGAACAATAAAAGAACAGCAATTATGAAGACAGAAGATAAATGTTAACATTGCATTTAAATTTTTGAAGATCAAAGTTGATTTGACAGTAAGAAGCCGGAAGAGAGTTCCACAAGCAAGAAGTGTGAGAAAAAAATTGTTAGCATAGAACTTATGTTTACATGTAGCCATTTGAACTGTAAAATGATGAGACCTTGCCACTAATCTAGTAGTACGCTTAAATTCATAAAGTCTAGGTACCAAAGAGGGAAGCTAATCTGAATAATTGCCATGAAAATATTTATAGAAAATGCACAAGGAACCTACATTATGGAGGTGGGAATGTGACTGAAGCTGACTTGCATGATTTAATTTGTCCATACAATTGTCTACATATTCATCTCAATTTAGAACACTTGTAAAGGGAATGAAAACTGTACTATTGAAAAAAAACATTCACAAGAAAGAAAAAATTCTACACTAACCAACTTTGCATCTACAGATCTTTGTTTTTAATCATTTTACTCCAGGTAAGGCTATAAAGCCACTAAGATGCAAAGGGTTACTGAGTGTGAAAAACTGGGAAAATGTTGAGTAGAAAGGGCAATAATATATCTGTGAATTGCTATTACTTCTTAGTAAAGATATTAGGGTCGTTTCCCATTGTCTTCTTCAACGTATTGAATTGAGAATAGTTTTTGCTATTCTACAGCAATGTTTTTAACTTTTTTATTTTATTTTTTTATCTCACTACACACTTGAACCTGTAGTTAAATTTCCGCGCCACACTTAAAGTAAGATGATCAAAAAAAGAGTAAAAATAAGAATATACTTTTTACGATTTATTTATTAACTCAAAAAATTTATTATAATTTGTAATAAAAAATAATTAAAATTCTTAAAAACCTTATATTTATTTATTTTCCATTTATTATAACTTAACATTTAATGAAATATCTGAGCTTGATGTTTGAGGATTTTCGGAAGGAGAAACATTTCTGACTAATTTTTTAAATTCTTAAATCTCCTTTACTTAAAAAATGAAAAGTTAACTAGGTCGATGTTATTCGGACGTAGTTGAGAACATGATTTAAATATTAACTGACCAATGAGAAGTGAGAAAATCGAGGTTCTGTGATCCACTTTTTGCACAGAATTGCACAAAAATTGACATTGATAGAAAAGTGATAGCAGAATGCTAAAGTCATTTAGAAAAACAATGACAAGTGTTGTTTTTTATAGTGAAGCTTTTTTGATTTTTATAGTAAAGCTTTTTACAGTGAAGCTGTAATAATAATGAATTCTAGGTTAAATAATAATAGAATAAATAAAATTATAAAACAAATAATAATAAAAATATTAAAAAATTAAATAATAAAACAGATAATAAAATGAATAATAAAACAAATTAAATAATAAAATAATAATAAAACAAATAATGAAAGAAATTAAATAATAAAACAAATAATAATAATAAAATAATAAAAGAAATTAAATAATAAAACATGCTCATTAAATAATAAATCGTGCTCTTTTTAAATTTCGTGCAGTTTGCGCGTTGCGTGCGTATTAATCAAGACAAGTGAAGTTTCGGCGCATGATTTCTCCGAGGAAAATGTATGTAAACAACGTCAGTAATGACTGTCGTACTTTAGCCGCGACGCGAATGAGTCCAAACTTTTATTGTCGATAACTCCAAAACGGTAGATTTTAAGAAAATGTCTTTGTTATTTTCCTATTAAACATGTAAATTTACACCTAGATATAACTATTCGGGAATTTTTTATTAGAAATTAAGCGCGGGGTTTAAATTATAAATTACCCAAAAAAGATGACCTCTTCTTCATTAATTAATTACTGAAGAATTTAAATAATTAAAATTTGACTGTTAACAAATCTTATTTTTATTTCAGAATTATTAAAAGTAAAAATTCCTATGAGATGTGATAATTTTTGTTTTGTGAATAACGATCTGTGTAATTACACTGTGTAACTGTAGTGTAATGAATGGAACGGCTCCAGTCGAATCCATTATTCAGTTACGTACAATACCCTTGTGGAAGATATGAATCCTCTTCCCAGTTATGGGTAAATAGCAGGACAGACTGGGTTCTATAGCCTTGTTGCCATCCATTACCGCAGAAAGAAATGACAACCTACTGCGAGAAAAAATCTGCCTCGTCAATCATGTATCGAAAGATACATGGTCACCTAAGTAAGCGTGTATCACGCATGATGACACATAACTGACTGAATAACGATCTCTTTTTTGCTATTCTTTCTAAGAAAAACCCTCCATATTTAAAAAAAAAAAAAAAGTTTCATTTTCTTTGCCTTGGCATCGCAACAACATCATCATCATACAGTCTTGGTTCTTGTATTCATTTTCTAAGCGTGGCTTAGATGTGACACATGGCCGAAAGTATGGGGCGCCCAGTGAGGATCGAAGTCACTGTACAGTTGTAAACTGTTTTTAGCGAGACCAGCTTGCTAACCATTACACCACGTCGAGCCGCCCCAGTCTTGGGGTTTGTTTGGGTGGGTGTGGTGAACTAAACATTATAAAATAAAAAGCACTCAACAACTCATACTTCCTGTATGCATCGATAAAGGGAGGTAACTGGCTACTGGCCTTTCTGCGCACTCTAAACACGGTAATGTAATTTGGAAATTTTACCTGTTTTCTTATCTTTTATAATATTAGAAGGGGTAACAATGTCACAAAACGGTGAAAAATTTTGTAACTTCAGTTTAAAATATAAACCAACTGATTGAAGTTGGTCATTCTTGCAAATCATAAAAACAACCAATATTTACTTATACTACACTACAGTTAGACTTTTTTTTTTACATGGCTGGATTGAGAAGTGACTAGTTTCTTTTTTCTTGATATAGAATTATTTATTGACTCCCATTGAAATCCCACATTCGAATTTTGTGTAATTTAATATACAAATTTAAGATAAAACGCATCATCTTGTTATAGAAACAAACATCTGTGATATTTTTATGAACGATTGAAAAAGTCCACATTTGATGCTCCCTACAAAGAAAAAAAACTAAGTTTCACTTTTTCCTGATGTTGATTAATTGTGAAAGAGATTTTTAAATTTAAACTTTAAATTGATAATGTGATAAAGTAAAGTAAACAGGCTTGTTTTGTTTGTAGAATTCAATTATTTGTTTACTTTTTAATCTCACAAACCAGTTTTTCTTTTTCTGTTTTTCTGATGAATTTGGAATTTTTATGGGTGCGCCTGAAATTTGGAATGAAGGTCGAATTTCCTAGTAAAATATAAAAATTATTGTTTCTAACGAGAATATCTACACTTTCTTGAGAGACTTATTAAAACCGCCCTCCATCCACCTATTTTTTTTTAATTGTGTGCTCTTATTTCAGCTAATTAGTAAAGGATCAAATATGGACAAAAAGTAAAAAAAAAAAACAAATTTAAATTAATTTGAAACTTGTTTTAGATTGATAAACAGTAAAAAGAAAAAATGTCTTATGGTTTATATTTTCAATGTTTCAAATTTATTCTCTGACGAAACTTTAATAAAAATGAAACTACATGTTTAGATTGATAAACGTTATTTTTAAGAAGACTTTTTAGTTGGCCGTTTACCGGGCCCACGGTTCTGTTAGTAGACAACTCAGTTTAAAAAAAAAAAAAAAAATTGTTACACGTTATAGTACAGTATACACTTTTTGGGCGATTATGTCTCTTACACTTTATTTATGATTGACTATTTTCACGCAGTAGGTTGCCAACCAAAGCTAAAGGACCCAGTCTGTCCTGTCATTCAACCCATAGCTGGGGGGGAGGAAATATGGATTCATGCCTTTCGCAAGGGTAATTATTTGCGCGTAATGAACCTGACCAAAATCCGAGCCTATATCCATCATTGTCATAGTAATACCCATCCGACTTAGAGATAATTTCAATAAAAATCAGCTGACTAGCAATTAAACCTCATTGACTAAAAAAAATAAGTCACAATATTTTGACAAGGCCTCACTCATTCATTATTGAACTACAATTGAACTGTTATTGTTACCGTTTGTTAATTAATAATAGGCTGAATAAATTTAAATAGTGATTGATATTTTTATTTTAAAATTTAAATTATTGATTTTTTTTTTGCCTTTCTCGGAATTTCCTAAAATTAAAAATATCATTTGATAAATTCCCAAATTTCCCACATGTGGGGGGATTTTTTTTTTATCGACCACATTTGATAAAACAAAAACAAAACTCAATTGATTTTTTTAGGATTTTTTTTTTTTTTCTTCTAAAAATTAAGTTTTTGAATACAAAAAAAAATTAATTTTAATTTATTTTAAAGCAACTCTCGATTATTACAACTTCAAAATTAAAAGGTCCCAAAATAAAAATCGGCGTGAGTTTACTTAATTTTTTAAAAATTCTGATTTTAAATTTTAAAAATTCCCTAATCAATAATTTTTTTCTTATCCTCTCATAAAAAAAGTCATCTTCTTGTTTTTGTATTGTGCACGCAGCTCTGTTATTCTCTTGTTGGCGTGTTTTTTTTTTTTTTTTTTTTTAGGCTTCTTGCTTTTTGCTTATTGAAACCTACTTTTTCTGACTAAGAAAAAAAAAAACTTATCTAAAAGTTTTCATAATTTCGGTAACTAAAAAATATAGTTTCCTGATTTATTTTGAAAATTAGTGGCTAAGTAAAAGTTTAATTTTCTTTCACTTCTAGTTTCATCAAAAAAGGACAGCTGAAGTACCCACCTATCATCCATACTCATCACTAGTTAGAAAAACAACTTAGTTTTCTCGGCTGTCTCCAGCTTTACATCAAATACAGATTGTAAAAAAGGTTTTATTTTACCATCTCTAACATTTTAGTTTTCTAAAGAATTCTAAAAAACGAACCCACTTACGAAATAATCTGAGGACAAAAAGATTTAAGTGCGATTTACTAAGCGTAGCTTAGATTTGGCGCAAGAAGGCCGAAGAATTGTTGTATGCGGTTTGATAATTGTTGTTTGTAATAATATTCATTATCATTAAATAATGGAATTTAATTTCAATTGGATTTTTTTTTTAACTTTGAAGAAAAGAAAAGTCATAGTTTTTCCACTATCCGGAAGTTAACTTCATTTTCCTGCACAGAATAAAGAAAAACGCGAAAACATGTTATTTTTGTTTGCGTATTTATTTGTCAAGTTTATTTTCTTAATTAGCTTTAGTTGTCATTTTTAATTTTTAAAATTCTTAAATCTCTCTTACTTAAAAAAAAAAAAAAAAAAAAAATGAAAAGTTAATAGTTTACAACTTTACAGTTAGACTTTAGAAAGAGAAACAAGTGAATTTAAGTTTTTTTCCCATACAACTTTCGACCTTCTACGAACATTTTCATTATGTAAAATTTTTTTTTTTTTTGTATTGGTTTTGTTCTTTTGTTAGAAACCCTAAAAAAAACTGAAATAAAATAGGACCTAATTTCCTCCTCTCCTAATTCGCCGAAAAAGAAAAAAAACAGCATTTTTTAGCATGATGAAAAAAAGAAGGTTGCAAAAACATAATAAAAATAAAGTTTTATCTTCAAATGTTTATATTAGGAAAGACCAAATTATTATTTTATTAAATTTTTTTAATCCTTTTTTATTTCTTTAGTACGTTCGAAATTTCGGTTAATTTTGTTTATTTTTTCTTTTTTTTACCTCAGCAGTCATTTACGATTAGTACTTTAGCGGCTTTTTTCAGTTGAAAAACATGGATTTGTAAATTCTTGCAAAAAGCAAATAATTGTCGAATTTTAATTAAACTTTCAGAACTTGTTTACAAATGAACAAAATTATTTTTAGACTTCTTTGTTTTATTTGCGAAGTTATGGTAAAAATATTTTTTACATCTATTCCACTTACTTTTTTTATTTTTATGGAAACTCGAGAAATAGTGATTGTTAAAAGAAAACAAGCAGAAGACTGAGTTTGAAGAATAAATCATCGATTTTTTTGATTTTTTTTTTTTTTTTGTAAAATCGAATCACAGTTACCTAAAATTGTAACATACAAAAAAACAACAAAACTAAGGTATTATTTTTAATTAGAAAAGCTTTTTAGCTTTTATGTTAAAAAGGATATTATTGTATTTTAAAAAGAATTGTTTTTTGTTTTCTCTTTCAATTTTAAATACAAAATGTGATAAGGTTGTTAAATATTTTAAAATTAATTTTCAATTTGTGCACTTTAGGAAATTCCTAGAAAAACAGTTTAATTTAAAATAAAAATATCAATTAAATTTATTCAGCCTGTTAAGTAGATCTGTCATTTTCCGTCCCTATTGAAACTAAAAAAGAAAATAATTAATAATTGTAGTATGCCTCTCAATGAACAGCAAATTGATTCTGTTTAAAAAATTAAATTAAAATAGGACGGGTACAAATTTCTATTTTGTTTCCCGAGCGCTAACATCCCTTCATATTTTTCCAAAATAGTCTTATTTCTGTGCAAATGTACATGCTGAACTCAAATCAACAATTAGATCATAAAGAAACCTACCTTTTTGAATGTTAACGACCAGAAAAAATTCGGACTTCTTCTCGGTCTTTCGTCAGCCATTACCGGCTTGAGAATTCACCGCGGAAAGATTTTTGGAGGAGTCATAAAATTTGGGCCTATTTACTTCTTTTACAGACTTTCCTTGCAGAAAATCACTACACACTATCGTAAAGAAATGTAAGTTTTTTTTTTTTTTGTTTTTTTTTTTTTTTTTTTGTTTTTTTTTTTTTTTTTTTTTTTTTTTTTGGTAAGTTTAGTTTTATTTGTAACAAAAACAAACTAAATAATACAATAGAACCTTTTTTCCATTTCGAATAGCAAGCATTTTTTATATTGTAAAATTGAAAAACAAAAAAATTAATGCACAAACTTGGTAAATTATCTAATGTTTTTTTTTATTTTTTTAATTTGTCCCCTTTTCTACACAGAAAGAAAATCCCACCCCTAACCTTAACACATAACTCTAAAGATTAACTTTAGGGTTAGTTGTTAAGGTCAGGGGTGGGGTTTTATGTGCAGAAAAGAGGACAATTTAAAAACAAATGAAATAATACAATCGACCCTTCTACTTTACCAAGTTTGTGTATTAATTTTTGTTTTATTTTCAATTTTACAATATAAAAAATGCTTTATTTTTATTATTTAATTTGTTCTTTTAATTTGTCATTGCTATTCGCAACGGAAAAAAGGTTCTATTGTATAATTTAATTTGTTATAAATAAAACTAAAATTACCAAAAACTAAAATTACATTTCTTTACGGTAATGCATAGTGATTTTTGCAAGGAAAGTCTGTAAAAGAAGTAAATAGGCCCAAATTTTATGACTATGCCAAAAATCTTTCAGCAATGAATGAGGATTCATGATGGCAGTAATGGGGGATCAACAAGTCCTTTTTTTTTTTTTCTTGTCGATAACTCCAAAACTGTAAGGTTTCTTCATAATTTAATTGTTAATTTGAGTTCAGCATGTACATTTGCACGGAATTATGACGATTTTGGAAAAATTCGAAGGGATATTAGCGCTCAGGAAACAAAATAGAAATTTACCATAAGACATTAAAAAAAATAAACTTTTGAAAATGTGACAATGATAGCCAAAGTCAGTCATAGAATTCAAC